AATGTCAATGTCATTTTGACATATTCTTAATTTTTATAAAATGTCTTAATATTTGTCACAAAAACAAAAATATAATAAAAAAAAATCAAAAATTAAGGTTGGTATTGATATTTAAAAATTAAATTGCCATCTTCATTGTTGCTAACTTCGGGTTTAATGTTTTTTATTCTAACTTTTTTGTTTTTTGAGATAAATGCGTCATCTTTGGACTCGTTTTAAAGGTTTTTTAATGAAGAAGACAAATATGTCAAAATTGTCGTTGACGTATCAAACCGGAAGTGATTTCCATTAATATTAAAGTTAAATATGTAGAGTTTGGACTCATTTTAAAGGTTATTTTATGAAGATTACGAATATAATAATTAAATTAAAGTTTTTAGTTTTAGTTCTAGTTTTAGTTCTATAAAAATATACAACATAGTGATAATTTTATCGCTTAATCTTGATTACTTCTTAAGTTATCAATTTTTTAACACAAATAATTAATTTAAAACTATTTCAAAGTATTTGTACCATTTTGACTAAGCTTTTTTTATTTCCTAATAAGTTTAAAATACTTTCTAAAAATTCAATTCTTTTAATTTTTTCTTCTCTTTTAAGTGTGCTAAATCGATTTTGATTCAATTTTTTTCAAAATCTAAAATTTTTGAAACTTCTGCAAAACATCCTCTTTCATATTTTTGATTTTTTTCTTCTTTATGGAGTAATTTGAAAATGTTTTTAAGAAATTTGGGTCGTTTTGACATAGACCAATTAACTTTTTTTATTGCTGGGTTTTTTGAAACACTTTTAAAATTTATCAAAATGATTTTTTTGTGATTCTTTCATTTTTTTTTCAGTATCATAAGGATGTTTTACGTCGATTTGATTCACACCTATTAATTTTTCTCATATTCTATAATTTTTTGAAGATCTTTTTCATTTATTTTGACAAACATCAATCAAAATTTTCAATTTCTCGATAAATTTGGATAGTTTTAAGACAAATTTTTTTAAATTAATTTTTTAAGTTTTTGACATATTTGTAATCTTCATTAAAAATCCTTTCAAATGAGTACAAACATGACATATTTATCTTCAATATTACTGAAATTATGGTCAACTTCCGGTTAAGAATGTCAACGTCAATTTTGACATATTTGTAATCGTCGTGAAAAATCCTTTAAAATGAGTCCAAACATGATACGTTTAATTCCAATATTACTCGAGATATAAGCAACTTCCGGTTTGAAATGTCAATGTCATTTTGACATATTCTTAATTTTTATAAAATGTCTTAATATTTGTCACAAAAACAAAAATATAATAAAAAAAAAATAAAAAATTAAGGTTGGTATTAATATTTAAAAATTAAATTGCTATCTTCATTGTTGCTAACTTCGGGTTTAATGTTTTTTATTCTAACTTTTTTGTTTTTTGAGATAAGTGCGTCATCTTTGGACTCATTTTAAAGGTTTTTTAATGAAGATGACAAATATGTCAAAATTGACGTTGACGTTTCAAACCGGAAGTGATTGTATTTCCATTAATATTAAAGTTAAATATGTCGAGTTTGGACTCATTTTAAAGGATTTTTTATGAAGTTGACAAATATGTCAAAATTAAAAGTTGAAAGTTCGAACTTTTTGGTTTTTTGAGATAAATGCGTCATGTTTGGACACATTTTAAAGGTTTTTTTAATATAGAATACATCATGAAAGAACACCACGAAGTTGTCCATTTGTCTATTATATGAATAACTAACTTCAGGTTTGAAAAGACAACCTCAATTTTGACATATTTGTAATCTTCATTAAAAATCCTTTAAAATGAGTACAAACACGACATATTTATCTTCAATATTAATGAAGTTATGGTCAACTTCCGGTTAAGAATGTCAACGTCAATTTTGACATATTTGTAATCGTCGTGAAAAATCCTTTAAAATGAGTCCAAACATGATACGTTTAATTCCAATATTACTCGAGATATAAGCAACTTCCGGTTTGAAATGTCAATGTCATTTTGACATATTCTTAATTTTTATAAAATGTCTTAATATTTGTCACAAAAACAAAAATATAATAAAAAAAAATCAAAAATTAAGGTTGGTATTAATATTTAAAAATTAAATTGCTATCTTCATTGTTGCTAACTTCGGGTTTAATGTTTTTTATTCTAACTTTTTTGTTTTTTGAGATAAGTGCGTCATCTTTGGACTCATTTTAAAGGTTTTTTAATGAAGATGACAAATATGTCAAAATTGACGTTGACGTTTCAAACCGGAAGTGATTGTATTTCCATTAATATTAAAGTTAAATATGTCGAGTTTGGACTCATTTTAAAGGATTTTTTATGAAGTTGACAAATATGTCAAAATTAAAAGTTGAAAGTTCGAACTTTTTGGTTTTTTGAGATAAATGCATCATGTTTGGACACATTTTAAAGGTTTTTTTAATAAAGAATACATCATGAAAGAACACCATGAAGTTGTCCATTTGTCTATTATATGATAACTAACTTCAGGTTTAAAATGTCAACCTCAATTTTGACATATTTGTAATCTTCATTAAAAATCCTTTAAAATGAGTACAAACACGACATATTTATCTTCAATATTAATGAAGTTATGGTCAACTTCCGGTTAAGAATGTCAACGTCAATTTTGACATATTTGTAATCGTCGTGAAAAATCCTTTAAAATGAGTCCAAACATGATACGTTTAATTCCAATATTACTCGAGATATAAGCAACTTCCGGTTTGAAATGTCAATGTCATTTTGACATATTCTTAATTTTTATAAAATGTCTTAATATTTGTCACAAAAACAAAAATATAATAAAAAAAAATCAAAAATTAAGGTTGGTATTAATATTTAAAAATTAAATTGCTATCTTCATTGTTGCTAACTTCGGGTTTAATGTTTTTTATTCTAACTTTTTTGTTTTTTGAGATAAGTGCGTCATCTTTGGACTCATTTTAAAGGTTTTTTAATGAAGATGACAAATATGTCAAAATTGACGTTGACGTTTCAAACCGGAAGTGATTGTATTTCCATTAATATTAAAGTTAAATATGTCGAGTTTGGACTCATTTTAAAGGATTTTTTATGAAGTTGACAAATATGTCAAAATTAAAAGTTGAAAGTTCGAACTTTTTGGTTTTTTGAGATAAATGCATCATGTTTGGACACATTTTAAAGGTTTTTTTAATAAAGAATACATCATGAAAGAACACCATGAAGTTGTCCATTTGTCTATTATATGATAACTAACTTCAGGTTTAAAATGTCAACCTCAATTTTGACATATTTGTAATCTTCATTAAAAATCCTTTAAAATGAGTACAAACACGACATATTTATCTTCAATATTAATGAAGTTATGGTCAACTTCCGGTTAAGAATGTCAACGTCAATTTTGACATATTTGTAATCGTCGTGAAAAATCCTTTAAAATGAGTCCAAACATGATACGTTTAATTCCAATATTACTCGAGATATAAGCAACTTCCGGTTTGAAATGTCAATGTCATTTTGACATATTCTTAATTTTTATAAAATGTCTTAATATTTGTCACAAAAACAAAAATATAATAAAAAAAAATCAAAAATTAAGGTTGGTATTAATATTTAAAAATTAAATTGCTATCTTCATTGTTGCTAACTTCGGGTTTAATGTTTTTTATTCTAACTTTTTTGTTTTTTGAGATAAGTGCGTCATCTTTGGACTCATTTTAAAGGTTTTTTAATGAAGATGACAAATATGTCAAAATTGACGTTGACGTTTCAAACCGGAAGTGATTGTATTTCCATTAATATTAAAGTTAAATATGTCGAGTTTGGACTCATTTTAAAGGATTTTTTATGAAGTTGACAAATATGTCAAAATTAAAAGTTGAAAGTTCGAACTTTTTGGTTTTTTGAGATAAATGCATCATGTTTGGACACATTTTAAAGGTTTTTTTAATAAAGAATACATCATGAAAGAACACCATGAAGTTGTCCATTTGTCTATTATATGATAACTAACTTCAGGTTTAAAATGTCAACCTCAATTTTGACATATTTGTAATCTTCATTAAAAATCCTTTAAAATGAGTACAAACACGATATATTTATCTTCAATATTAATGAAGTTATGGTCAACTTCCGGTTAAGAATGTCAACGTCAATTTTGACATATTTGTAATCGTCGTGAAAAATCCTTTAAAATGAGTCCAAACATGATACGTTTAATTCCGAGATATAAGCAACTTCCGGTTTGAAATGTCAATATCATTTTGACATATTCTTAATTTTTATAAAATGTCTTAATATTAGTCACAAAAACAAAAATATAATAAAAAAAAATCAAAAATTATGGTTGGTATTGATATTTAAAAATTAAATTGCCATCTTCATTGTTGCTAACTTCGGGTTTAATGTTTTTTTATTCTAACTTTTTTGTTTTTTGAGATAAATGCGTCATCTTTGGACTCGTTTTAAAGGTTTTTTAATGAAGAAGACAAATATGTCAAAATTGTCGTTGACGTATCAAACCGGAAGTGATTTCCATTAATATTAAAGTTAAATATGTAGTTTGGACTCATTTTAAAGGTTATTTTATGAAGATTACGAATATAATAATAAAATTAAAGTTTTTAGTTCTCGTTCTAGTTTTAGTTCTATAAAAATATACAACATAGTGATAATTTTATCGCTTAATTAATTACTTCTTAAGTTATCAATTTTTTAACACAAATAATTAATTTAAAACTATTTCAAAGTATTTGTACCATTTTAAGCTTTTTTATTTCCTAATAAGTTTAAAATACTTTCTAAAAATTCAATTCTTTTAATTCTTTCTTCTCTTTTAAGTGTGCTAAATCGATTTTGATTCAATTTTTTTCAAAATCTAAAATTTTTGAAACTTCTGCAAAACATCCTCGTTAATATTTTTGATTTCTTTCTTCTTTATGGAGTAATTTGAAAATGTTTTTAAGCAATTTGGGTCGTTTTGACATAGACCAATTAACTTTTTTTATTGCTGGGTTTTTTGAAACACTTTCAAAATTCATCAAAATGATTTTTTTGTAAATCTTTCATCTTTTTTCAGTATCATAAGGATGTTTTGCGTCGATTTGATTCACACCTATTAATTTTTCTCATATTCTATAATTTTTTGAAGATCTTTTTCATTTATTTTGACAAACATCAATCAAAATTTTCAATTTCTCGATAAATTTGGATAGTTTTAAGACAAATTTTTTTAAATTAATTTTTTAAGTTTTTGACATATTTGTAATCTTCATTAAAAATCCTTTCAAATGAGTACAAACATGACATATTTATCTTCAATATTACTGAAATTATGGTCAACTTCCGGTTAAGAATGTCAACGTCAATTTTGACATATTTGTAATCGTCGTGAAAAATCCTTTAAAATGAGTCCAAACATGATACGTTTAATTCCGAGATATAAGCAACTTCCGGTTTGAAATGTCAATATCATTTTGACATATTCTTAATTTTTATAAAATGTCTTAATATTAGTCACAAAAACAAAAATATAATAAAAAAAAAGTCAAAAATTAAGGTTGGTATTGATATTTAAAAATTAAATTGCCATCTTCATTGTTGCTAACTTCGGGTTTAATGTTTTTTATTCTAACTTTTTTGTTTTTTGAGATAAATGCGTCATCTTTGGACTCGTTTTAAAGGTTTTTTAATGAAGAAGACAAATATGTCAAAATTGTCGTTGACGTATCAAACCGGAAGTTCCTAATACGTTTAAAATACTTTCTAAAAATATCAAAGTCAATTCTTTTAATTCTTTCTTCTCTCTTAAGTGTGCTAAATCGATTTTGATTCAATTTTTTTCAAAATCTAATATTTTTGAAACTTCTGCAAAACATCCTCTTTAATATTTTTGACTTCTTTCTTTTTTATGGAGTAATTTGAAAATGTTTTTAAGCAATTTGGGTCGTTTTGACATAGACCAATTAACTTTTTTTATTGCTGGGTTTTTTGAAACACTTTCAAAATTCATCAAAATGATTTTTTTGTAATTCTTTCATCTTTTTTCAGTATCATAAGGATGTTTTACGTCGATTTGATTCACACCTATTAATTTTTCTCATATTCTATAATTTTTTGAAGATCTTTTTCATTTATTTTGACAAACATCAATCAACATTTTCTATTTCTAGATAAATTTGGATAGTTTTAAGACAAATTTTTTTAAATTAATTTCTCTCCCAACCCATAATTTGTTTCATAAAAAGTCATTGTTATACATTGTTCCATTATTAGAGAATTTTCTAGGTTAATGGTTCGAGTTTCTCGATCTAGATCACACACTACTCATTGATATTGCCTCATTCTTTCCTTCTGGGCTCGATTAACACCGACAAAAGCCTTTAGCTAACCAGTTATTTTGCAACAACCCTCGCAAAACAGACAAAGGAACATTGTTATTGTTAAAATACGTGTCCTTTTTTTTTCTTTTCCTCGTTGTGTGAGTTTACAGTTAACGTTATTGATATCTCAAGACACTTTCACCTCTATAGTGAAAGTGTTGTTCCTAAAAGCGTTGTCTTATGCAATTTTCGTTGTGATAACAAATTATCAAATAAATAAAAAACGAGCGTTTGTGTGGAAAAATTTATTTTGAAACTATTACAAAAAAAAATACAATAAGTTTTTTTTTATAAATAAGTTTCACAATATGGAAACTAAAAGAATTAAAAATAATGTTATTTTATTCCTCTTGTACTGGTCTTTTAACGCCTTTCCTGCGAATTGGTCGTGGTTTCGCAGTGGGGGGGTTCTCCAAAGCTGCTAATTCTTCATCGGTGAATTGGCCTTTATACCAATCTTTGCTGTTAATTAATACATAATAAATAAAAAATAATTTTAGGTCAATTTTTTAAATTTACCATTCCGGAACAAGTCTGGGCCAACTACACGTCTTCTTAACATCATCAAAAACTTGTCCTAATTTGCAACCGTTTCTTCTTGGTACATTTCCATTTATACAAACATAGAAAAATTGGCAATCTTCAGGATCTGCGTACCTTGGATGTGTTAATCCAACGGTTTCGTTAACTTTCTGGCATTCAAATTGGAAAACCTCTAAAATAAAAATTATTTTGGGACAAATTTATTAAATTAAAAGACTTAATTTAATTTACCCTCAGATGTACATCCTTCCCTCTTAGCCTCATCGGGCCAAGAACAAATTCCAGCTCTTTCATTATAAACTAATCCATTAGGGCACGTTATCATATTAAATTTACCATCGACGCAATAATAAAATTTGTCGCAAACATTTTTTTGTTCGTGTGCGAAATAACCGTGTTTTCTTGGGCAATGTTGGCTTGGTTGTGGTTGTTCTAATTAAAAAAAAATTTCTTAATGATAATAATAATAAGATTTTGAGAAAGATTTTACGCATTTTGGGTCTATGTGAACAATCAATGTTAAAGGGTAAATCACATTTCTCATAATCAGCACTAAAATCGTTAAAAACTAGCCCATCGTCGCATAATTTAGGGGTTGCAACCCCATCTCTGCAATCGTAGTATTTATCACATTGTTCGGTGTCGGCGAAAAATCCTTCGGGTTCGGGGCATTCCTGATCAAGAAGAATTTCTTCATCTCTAATTGGTTGGCGGGATGGTGGGGTTTTTCTGTTTGCTCCAACAACAAAACCTTTTCAACAAAAAAATTTAATTTAATTAAGAGGTGACCTTTTCCACAACTTTCACCTAAAACCAATAAAGACGCGGTCTTTCTTCATCATCTTCTTTATAAGAAACTTTTTTTGTTAATTAATTAATTTTATTTCATTACCTTGATAAAAGATATTTTTCTGTTCCCATTTTTTCTTAAATATGTGATATATCAAGGCGATATTTGCAATGCCACGAGGCGTGGCGAGGTCTTTAACATCCGAGGTGTTAAGTTATGTCTTGAAATACGGTGAGACAAAGAATTGCATCAAACGAATCAGAAAAAGAAAAACGATGTGGCTAACTTTCACTTCTTTGATTAGATCGATTGTAAAAAAAATTAATCGCAAGTTTTTAACCGAAAGGACTGTATTTTACAATTAATGGAAGGAAATTTTTTTAAAAGTGAAATTTTTAACTTACCTGCAAAGCAGAAGAGGAGTAAAAAGTTAAATTTAACAGCCATGTCTACCAACCAACTAACGGACCGCTCGGAGCCACTTTGGTTTTTAATGTTACCCGTTCTCTCTCTCGACCTTGCCACTGGAATACCAATATTATAAAAAGAAATGAAACTTTTTTTTTTCTTTCATCAAAATCGTCTTACAATGCAAGGATAAAATGCAGAACAGGTTTTTGAAGATTAAAAAATCTTATAACAACGTAAAAAAAATTATTTAACAAAATATAATACAAAGATTCAACTATATATATACAGGCTGTTTCGGTGACTCGGGGAACAAATTTAACCACATATACTAGAGTGAAAATGATAACGATTCATGTAAAAAAAATTAGTAAAAGTCTTCAAATTTCAAAGATACAGGCCATCACAGTTAAGAAATTTTAACACATTTTTCCAAATATCTTAAACACTATTTATAGTAAAGGGTTGAAATTTTGTACAGTATAAATCAGTGTGATGTAAAATCGTTAGGCGATTTATGAGTTGGATCGGTCCGCGGGAACAATACTATACAGGTGTTCCTAAAGTTTGTTTGCTCAGAACTTTTTTATTCCATCATAACCCTACATTTATTTTTGCAGTTTCTGATAGTAAATTTAGTTTAGAAACTTTTATTACTCTTAGATAATATTGATAAAAATTACCGTTTTTGTGTTAAATGCAAAAATGTTGGGTTCCGATTTCAATAATAGCACTAAAAAAAAAAGAAATCTAAGTTTTTGAACATTTCCTTTAGTACTTTTTATTACTTGTCTTGTAATTTTATGTACCTTTTTTATTATTCCTGTTAGTGTTGTCGTTTTTTTGTTTATTTTTTGTTGATTGTTAATTTATTGTTTTTGCATTCTTGTCTTAAACCAACTAAAACAAATTAAAAATGTGATTTAGCTAAATCTACACTTGGACATGTTGCATACATATTAGTTATGACAGCTCAGTTCGATTTTCACTTGTCATTGCCAATTCAGATTATTTATTTATTTTTGCATTTAATCCGAAAACGGTGGTTTTTATCAATATTCTCTAAGAGTGATAAAAATTTTTAAACTAAATTTACTATTAAAAACTGCAAAAATAAATGTAGGGTTTTGATAGAATAAAAAAGTTCTGCTCAAACAAACTTTAGGAACAGCCTGTATAGCATTGTTCCCGCGTACCGATCCAACTCAAAAATTGCCTAGTGATTTTACGTGATATTAGTTTACACTATACCAAATTTCAACGCTTTACCATAAATAGTGTTTAAGATATTTAGAAAAATGTGTTAAAATTTCATGACTTTGATGGCTTGTATCTTTACAATTTGAGGAGTTTTACTAATTTTTTTTTACATGAATCGTTATCATTTTCACTCTAGTACATGTAGTTACATTTGTTCCCCGAGTCACCGAAACACCCTGTATACAGGGCGATTTATAACATACGGAGCAGACTAAAAGAGTAGGTACTGGAGGTAAAACTGAAGAGATTTTCTTAATAATGTTTTGTTAAAAACTTAATAGTTACATAGATATCGCATGTTAATTTTTTAAATAATTTAACGTCCATTTTTGAGAACCGCTGATATTCAGTAAAGAATAATTAAAATACTTGTCCGTTGCTAAGTAACCAAATCAACTGGATTGGCAGCAATAAAAACATGGTATCAGCGGTTCTCAATAAACAAACACCACCGTTTCCACCGTGTCGAAAAAATCTTCTTTTAAATGTAAAGAATTATGAATATTATCTAGAACATTCTCTCTTGATAATACAAAGGTTTCAAGCTTTCTAAGATAGGAATAAGCTTCATCAAAAGTAGGCATAGCAATAAGTATTTCATTTTCAAGATTATCATCACCCTCATCTGATTCTGAAACAATAAGAAGTTCTCAATAAGTCTATGTGGTTTGCTATTCTGTTGTTAAAATTACTTGCAGAACGGATTCGAATATTTTATTCTTTGGTAAATTCGATTTATAGAAGTAAAAACGTTCTGACTCGTCGTTGCATAGTCGACAAGTTTGATCCTCAGCTTGTCCAATGTGGAAGAGGTGGTATTTTAGGGGCACATGGCCGGTTAGGTAGCCTGAGAGCGTTCTTAGATCCCCTTTGCTGAGGCATAAAACCTCTTTCGTTTTGTTTTGCGACGGAGTTATCATACTCTTCGCTTGTCTGTGACCTGGAAGTTCTTTCCAGCGTAAGGCTATCTTTGAAGCCTCCCAGTTGTTGAGTATTTGTTTTAGGTGGCTTTTTTGTAGTCCACATCCAGGTTGGGGTCCAATGAAGGGCGTGTTTTCTGCCTCTTTGGCCAGCTTGTCGGCCTTCTCATTGCCCTCAATGTTGATGTGACCTGGAACCCACCCTAGGGTAACATCACTGCCCCTAACGAGTTCTCTCAGGTTGTTGGTACACTCTCTGATCAGTGCGGAGCCACACGTGTAGGCCTGAATTGCCTTTAAGGCGGCCCGACTGTCTGTGAAAATGTTTATGGATGCACCTTTTTGTCCCTTTTATAGGTTCAAAGCGGTGCAGAAGTTTATAGCAAGAACGTCTGCTTGGAAAATTGTTAAGTCCCAGTTGAGGGGCAATTTGATGTGGCTATTTGGTCCACTGATGCCCATGCCTACTCCAGATCTCACTGTCTTTGAAGCATCGGTGTACCAGGCTAGGGCTCCTCTTTTTAGTTGAGGCCCAATCATTCCTGCTACTAAATATGACCTTATACGGTTGGTTGAAATTGTATTCCGTCGGTATGAGGTCCGTTTTAATTTTAGACATGGGTCCTTGAGGATCTCGAGGTGTCCTCTGAGGTCACCCTGCATCAACTTGAGTGAAGAAACTGTTTTCAGTGATAAGGCACTTAAGGCTGCCTCCTTTTGTATATATATATGTGGAGCGGTGTGAGACCGAGTAGGGCTTCCAAAGCAGCCGTCGGACAGGATCTCATTGCACCCGTTATGTTAAGACATGCTAACCGCTGGATTTGTGCCAGCTGTTGTTGAGCTGTCTTATGTTTTGTTTTTGGCCACCAAACCAATGAGGCGTAGGCGACCATGGGTCTGATTATTGCTACGTAGGCCCAATGAGCCATTCGTGGTTTGAGACCCCAGTTCCTTCCTAGGAGCCTGCGGCAGATCTGATTTGCCATGATGGCCTTTTTCCTCACCTTATCTAAGTGTGAGTTCCAGTTTAGTTTACTGTCAAGTATTACCCCTAGGTATTTAGTTTCTGTTTTGAGGTTAATAGTTCTGCTTTCAATGGAGGGTGCTTTTATTTGTAGCTTCCTTCTCCGAGTGAAAGGGACTATTTCGATTTTATTGGGATTGATGCTGAGCCCATTGCTTCTGCACCAAGTATTGGTGAGTAGTAGGGCTTTCTGCATTAGCTGAGTTATGATTGAATCATATTTACCTCGGATTGTGATTACCAGGTCATCAGCATACCCTTGTATCTTAAATCCGTTTTTAGTTAGGGTGTTCATCAAGTCATCAACTACCAGGCACCATAATAGAGGCGCCTTTATAGTCAGCGACTCGCCTCCCAGACTGGCTGTGATCTGCCGACTTTTCAACATGGCTATACACCACTTGATTGTCGACGGATGTATGTCTTTTACGTTTAAAGCCTTCTCTATGGATTCATATGAGGTGTTATCAAACGCACCCTCTATATCTATGAAAGCACAAAGGGCTATCTCTTTGGTTGGAATTGCCTCCTCTAAGGTGCTAGTCAAAGCATGGAGAGCGGTAATTGTTGATTTTGCTTTCTGGTAAGCATGTTGGCTAGGGTGGAGTGGATTTGTGACAAGCACTCCATTCCTTAGGTATTGATCGATTACCTTTTCCATCCCTTTGGGGGGAAATGAAGTTAGGCTAATTGGTCTGTACGCCTTGGGGTCCGCGTTTGAACGCCTACCACCTTTAAGTATGAAGAGCACCTTTACTTTCCTCCATAGAGTGGGTATATAGCTAAAGCTGTAGCTAGCTATATATAGGGATATTGTTATTGGGAGAAGGTCTTCTAAGCCTTTTTGCAGAAAGATAGACAGAATTCCATCTCCTCCAGGTGATTTTAGCGGCTTGAAATTCGAGATAGCCCACCTTACTCTGTTGGGTATGAAAATATTCCCAGCTGTGCTGCGAACCCTACCTGATGGACGGGTTAAGTCCATTACTTCAGGGTCGGCATCTGCATGGGGGCTGACTTTTGAGGAAGGAAAGTGTGTACTCAGTAGGAGCTCCAACGATTCCTTAGCATCCTCTGTATATTTACCATCTTGTTTGCATAGGTGGCCTAGATCAGTGTTGTGATCTTTTGCCAAGATCGTATGCAGACGAGCAACTGTAGGCGTATTGTCTATGCTTTCACAGAAGCTGCGCCAGGTTTTTCTTTTGGCTTTGCGGATAGCCAAGTTAAACCTTATTACCAAGTTATTGTCTAGTTTGGTTCAAGATATCTTTGAAGATCTATGTTCTCTATATCTTTTTGCAAGAACCCAGTCATCGGCGTAGCCGTACTTTTTAGATGTTGTTTCTGACATATCTTTGATATAATACTACATATTATTTAGCAAATCAATACACTGTCGTAGACAGCCAACAATGCAGCAAAAATCTGTCTGTGCGATCGGTATTACATCAAGCACCATCTACCAGATTCTGTTGTAGATGAACCTTTCAAGTAATTTCTATGTTACTGATAATAATAGGATGAATCTGTCACTCTTACGCGAGTTTGCTTGAATTCTCTGGGTAGGTTACCAAAGTTTAGTGTTTTAAACAATTATTTAGATTTTTTATTTATGTATTTAAATAAAACATTATTATTTATAAAGCCATAACATATTAAACCAATTATAATGTAACAATAACAATATAATGTATTAATTAACCCAATAATATACTGGATAACAACATTTAATTACACTCTTTCATGTTTGAGCATAATTTTGCCTTTTGACGATAAAATAACAGATTGATTATCAAACTCCATGGGATAACTAAGAGATTCATGAGGAGATACTTTGTAATTTTTCAAAATTAAACTTAATCCAACTTTAGTTTGCATCATTCCAAAACGTAGACCTAAAAATGTTTTAGTTAATATTTATAAATTAAATTTCAGTTAATATTAAGACTTACCAATACAAATTCTTGGTCCTTCCCCGAATGGAAGGAAAGTATACGGAGTGATATTTCGTTTATTTTCATCAGAAAACCGATCCGGGTTGAATTTATTCGGTTCGGGGAAATATTCCTCATCTCTTTGCAAACCTATTAAACTTATAAACACATTTGTACCTTTTTCGATGGTCGATCCATTCGGAAGTGTGTAAGTTTGAGTGCAAAGTCTTGGGAGAGTATGAACTGGTGGATACATTCTTAAAGTTTCATTAATCACTTGCTCCATGTATTTCATATCCATAATCGCATCGTAAGTTAATTTTCCACCGTGCTTTTTAATGGTTTCATTAATTTCTTTTCGAAGCTTATCTTGAATATCTTGATGATGGGCTAACTCGTATAAACAAAAAGTCATCGTGGTCGAAGACGTCTCAAATCCAGCCAAAAAGAAAACGAAAGCTTGGGCGGCCATTTCATCTATGGAGTATGTAGACTTGTTATTTTCTTTGGCAGTTTGTTCCATGTTGATTAAAAGTTGCATAAAATCGTTTCGCGTAACATTTTTAGATTTCCTATATTCAAAAGTATCTTTTACAACACCCCGGAAAAATTTCGACGAACATTTATCGGTGAAATGAAGTTTTAAACTTTTTACAAGTGTTGGAGAGATCATCGTGAGGACGTTTCTTATTCGAAATTTGAGGCTAGATTCGAATAATTTTCTTCCATGACTTCTAAATTCAGCGTTGGGGTTTTTAAAGCTGTTACATTCAAGTCCAAAAGCGCAAGATCCGATTACGTCGGTGGTGAAGCAGGCTAAAATTTCTTTTATATCTAAATCTTGTTTGGTGGAATCGATGAATTCTTCGAGTTGATTTCCGCATACTAATAAAATGTCGAACATCATTTTCATTTTTCCCGAGGTAAAAGTTGGGGTCATTTTAACTCTCATATCTTTCCACCTCGCGCCTTCTAAATTGAAAAGATGCGCTTCTAACGGCTCATCTTTTTCGTCGAAAACAGCAGCGTGACTATTAAAGTAATTAAAATCTTTACTTACGATGTTTTTTACCCATTCTGGGTCGACGATGAGAAGCATTGGGGTGGCCCCGGCGTAAATCCCACCGATTTTTTCTCCTTTAGCTTTAAATTGTTTGTGCAAGTCTGCCAAATTCATTACGGTTCCTCCTTTACTTGTCATTGGGTTCTCGATGTTTCCGAATGGAAAACTTGGTTTGATTTGGGCAACTCCTTTTTTCTCCCAATATTGAAACGATTTTTTGTAATAATAATAAACCAAAGAGGTTAATGTTAATAACGCAAATATAAAGACTTCCATTTTAACTTTTTTGATTTAACTCGAAATCTAGAATGATTAAATTTGATTTTGCCTCGGTATTTATTTAAAATCCCACCCGAAAATTAATGATAAAAAACGTAACGTCTAATTTCTACATGACTTGCATGACTCTTAATATTATAGCATAATAACTACGTTGGTAGTTGGATTAACACGCGATTTCTTAATTAGATGACTTTAAGTTTTGAATATTATATCGCTCTAAACGATATATAAACAAATAAATCGCGATGGATTGTTGCTATTATTAAAATAATTTTATTAATGTAAATATTTTGCATTAAACCTTAAGATAACTGAAATATCATGTTAAACACGAATTATTTATTAAATTATAGGTGTAATTGAAACGTTACGTAAAATTAACCACTCTAATATCAATGAATCGAAAAAAAAAATGTTATAAATTATAGGAACAACCTCTTTTCTGCTGGTTTCTGCTTTTCTTGCTGGTTATCAACTATAAATAAAGATCAGTAACACCGAAAAATATTAATTACGATTCAATACAATTAAAATTCCCTGTACAACGCTTATTTACAAAAAGAGAGCAACCAGATTGCTTTTTATATACAATGACAAGATATTATTGGGTGTTATTGCTTCAAAACGAGAGAAAGTGATTTGTCAGGATGAGTTGGGATTCAAGATAAGTAATGAATATAGAAAATATTTATTAAGCAAGAAAGCGGAATATTTTCAATTTGTTATTACATTAAATTATGCTAATCATATGAAAAATAGTTACTTTCGTAGATAAAACGAGCCGTTGTTTTAAAAATTTTGTTGTTTATTGATAATTTTTAAATCAACGAAATTCATCAAATACATATTTTTATCGATATCTATGAATCTGAGAGCAAAAGTGCAAGAGAGCAATATTGTTAAGAATAAAATTTGCTACAACTTTTGTTCTAAATGTGCTTCTATAACATACTCTGATTAACGAGTGTTACTATTAACAACATGTAAATAAATGAAATTCATCAAATTTTCATATTTCTCTCGATATCTATGAATCTAAGAGCAAAAGTGCAAGAGAGCAATATTGTTAACAATAAAATTTGCAACAACTTTTGTTCTAAAAGCTTTTTTATAACATTCACTGATTCCCGAGTGTTATCATTAATTAGTTGCAAAACAACAAAATTCATCAAATTTTCATTTTTTTATCGAGTCTATGAATTTGAGAGCAAACATACAAGAGAGCAATATTGTTAACAATAAAATTTGCTACAACTTTTGTTCTAAAAGCTTTTTTATAACATTCACTGATATCTGAGTGTTATCATTAACTAGTTGCAAAACAACAAAATTCATCAAATTCTCGTGTTTTCGTAATTTTCACAATATCTATGCATCTGAGAGCAAAAGTGCAAGAGAGCAATATTGTTAAGAACTAAATTTGGAACAACTTTTGTTCTAAAAACTTTTGTATAATATTCACTGATTTCCGAGTGTTATCATTAACTATTTGCAAAACAATGAAATTCATCAAATTCTCGTGTTTTCGTAATTTTCTCGATATCTATGAATCTAAGAGCAAAAGGCAAAGAGAGCAATATAAATTTGCAACACCTTCTGTTCTAAAAGCTTTTTTATAACATTCACTGATTCCCGAGTGTTATCATTAACTAGTTGCAAAACAACAAAATTCATCAAATTTTCATATTTTTATCGAGTCTATGAATCTGAGAGCAAAAATACAAGAGAGCAATATTGTTAACAATAAAATTTGCAACAACTTTTATTCTAAAAGCTTTTTTATAACATTCACTGATTCCCGAGTGTTATCATTAACTATTTGCAAAACAACGAAATTCTTCAAATTCTCGTGTTTTCGTAATTTTCACAATATCTATGCATCTGAGAGCAAAAGTGCAAGAGAGCAATATTGTTAAGAACTAAATTTGCAACAACTTTTGTTCTAAAAGCTTTTGTATAACATTCACTGATTTCCGAGTGTTATCATTAACTATTTGCAAAACAACGAAATTCATCAAATTCTCGTGTTTTCGTAATTTTCTCAATATCTATGCATCTGAGAGCAAAAGTGCAAGAGAGCAATATTGTTAAGAACTAAATTTGCAATAACTTTTGTTCTAAAAGCTTTTTTATAACATTTACTGATTCCTGAGTGTTATCATTAACTATTTGCAAAACAACGAAATTCATCACATTCTCGTGTTTTCGTAATTTTCTCAATATCTATGCATCTGAGAGCAAAAGTGCAAGAGAGCAATATTGTTAAGAACTAAATTTGCAACACCTTTTGTTCTAAAAGCTTTTTTATAACATTCACTGATTCCCGAGTGTTATCATTAACTAGTTGCAAAACAAGGAAATTCATCAAATTTTCGTGTTTTCGTAATTTTCTCGGTATCTGTGCATCTTAGAGCAAAAGTGCAAGAGAGCAATATTGTTATGAATAAAATTTGCAACAACTTTTGTTCTAAAAGCTTTTTTATAACATTCACTGATTCTCGAGTGTTATCATTACCTAGTTGCAAAACAACAAAATTCATCAAATTTTCATATTTTTATCGAGTCTATGCATCTGAGAGCAAAACTGCAAGAGAGCAATATTATTAACAATAAAATTTGCAACAACTTTTGTTCTAAAAGCTTTTTTATAACATTCACTGAATACCGAGTATTACCATTAACTGGTTGCAAAACAACGAAATTCATCACATTTTCCTGTTTTCGCATTTTTATCGATATCTATGCACCTGAGAGCGGAAGTGCAAGAGGGCAATATCGTTAACAATAAAATTTACTACAATTTTTGTATTAAATGTTTTTTGTAACACTTGTAAAACAACGAAATTCATCAAATTTTCATATATTCTTATTTTACTCTATATTTATGCATCTGATTGTGAGAGCAATGGTGCAATCGAACAATATTATTAACAATAGCATTTGTTACAACTTTTGTTCTAAAAGTTTTGTTGTAATATGTTCTATTTCCCGAGTGCTACCACTAACAATATGTAGAACAACAAAATCCATCATATTTTCATATTTTTCCTGCTGTCTATGTATTTGAGAGAGAGAGAGCAATATTGTTAGTACTAGAATTTGCTACAATTTTTGTTACAAGAGTTTTTTTGTAATATGCTCCAATTCCCCATTGTTAACCTTAACCACTTGCAAAAAAAACAACGATATTCATCATATTTTATATGCAAAATAAAAATTTGCTACAAGTTTTGTTTTAATAGTTTTTTTATAATATATTATAAGTTGTAAAACAACGAAATAATTAACTCGCAGTGTATTAACTTCCTAACAAAGTTTTTATTACGACAAAGCATCGCCAATATGAATCTTTTTCTATATAATCTCTACTAATTTAGTACGATTTCAAATTAAACTTTTTCAGCCTTTAATAAAATTTTTCCTTTAAAAGATAAAACGAGAGCTTTTGGGTCAAAATCCATAGGATATTTGATATTTTCTTGCGGATGCAACTTATAATTCTTCAAAAGAAGAGTTAATCCAACTTTAGCTTGCATCAATCCAAATCGTAAACCTAAAATTCATATTTAACAATTAATTATTTGATTAATTAATTTAAACGATGAGATTTACCAATACAAATTCTTGGTCCTTCCCCGAACGGAATATAACTGAACGGTTTAATCTTGTCTTTATTCTCATCGGAAAATCGATCCGGATCGAATTTCTCCGGATCAGAAAAATAATCTTCATCTCTGTGCATGCTAAAAATGTTAATAAACACGCTTGTACCTTTTTTGATTTCAACACCATCCTCGAATTTGTAATCTTTAGTGCAAGTTCTTGGTAAAATCGGAGTGGGGGGATATTTTCGCAAGGTTTCTTGTAAAACTTGATCTAAATATTTCATTTCCATGATTGCGTCGTAACTTATTTTATTGTCGTGTCGTTCTAAGACTTCGTTCATTTCGGCTCTAACGCGATCTTGAACCTCTTGGTTATACGCTAATTCGTACATACAAAAGCTCATCGTTGTTGAGGAAGTTTCGAAACCGGCGATGAAGAAGATTAGGGATTGGGCTGTGAGTTGTTCCATCGTGAACCCTTCGCTTCCTTCTTGTTGGGCTTTTGCTTTCATGTTGAGTAAGATTTGCATAAAATCGTTTCTTGTGACGTTGTTTTGCTCGCGGTAATTAACTAAGTTTTTAACTGCGTCCATGAAGAACATTCTTACCGAGGGATCAATAGTGTTTATTTTTAATGTTTTTTTGATTGTTGGGAAAACTTGTCCGACTAATCTTCTAAAGAATGTTATGACCGATGGGGTGAATAATTTTCGCCCATTTTTTCGAAACTCAGCATCGGGATTTTGAAACGAATTGCATTCTACACCGAAAGCACAAGAGCCGATAATATCAGTTGTGAAACAAGCCATGATCTCTTTAACATCGAACGGTTTATTTTGTTTGTAAGTTTCATCCAAAAAATTCTCCAATTGATGACCACAATCCAACAAAGTGTTAAACATCATTTTCATTTTTCCCGATGTAAAAGTTGGGGTTAATTTAACCCGCATATCTTTCCATTCTTGCCCGCTTAAATTGAAGAGATGCGCTAAAATCGGATCGACCGCTTCAATTTCCGTTCCGTGACTAGCAAAAGATTGGAAATCCTTCGTTAAAATCGTCTTAATAAGATCGATATCCATCGGTATTAAAATCGGGTTTGGTCCTAGATAAGCACCTCCGTATTTAACCTTTTTCGATTTTAGTTCTAGGTAACATTTTCTTACACCAGCGTATAAACCTTTTTTAACATCTTTGTAACCTATACTGCCAAAGGGGAATGTTGGTTTAACTGAGGTTACGTTCAATTTATCCCAATGTTTAAATGATTGTTGGAAATAGAAATAAATCAATGTGATGATTGCGATTATTCCTATTAAAGTTTCTAAAAGTGCCATCTAAAAGAAAAGGAGATGAATAAAAAATATTAACAACAACAAATCTTACCTTAACGATTGTGATTTTGGCAGAACACTAAACACATCAAGGCCACCGTCTAATTTATATAACAGAAACGTTATGACGAAAACAAACCGTTATCGGTATTCGCTAAGAAAAAATTACTTTTTAATATGTGGAATGAGTAATAAACGATTACAGGCATGATTTGGACACCTTTCTATTTGATACACGTTTATACTTACTGATATGACTTGTGACTTTGATAAATCCACAAATTCACGCGACCATTACAAGTACATTGTTATTTCGATATTATCGCTCTTATCAATCTAATCAATGTGGCATCTACAATTGTGGGAACGAAGAAATTATTTTTCGTACGTTAAAACTACTAAAATGCTTTATGTTTCATGTTAATATCTCAATTCGTTCTTGAGATACGAATCCATAAATAAAACTTTATTAATTTAACCTCAATACCCCACATGGTTGAATTAAAAAATCGTATCACCTATAATTATGAGAACGAAGGAATTATTTTTTGTACGTTAAAACTACATTAAATTTGTGATAAAAAGGTGTTTATTTCAACTCGATATCTCACTTACTTTTAGAGATATGATTTTATTAAGATTATCACTTAAATAATCTGTAAATTGATAGGTAGAGGTGAACTAAAAAAATCATCACGTCAAAATTTGTAGAAATAAAAAAACGATTTTCAACACATTAAATATTGATTAGATTTGCTTTAAAATGCTTTATGTTTCATGTTAATATCTCAATTCGTTCTTGAGATACGAAGCCATAAATAAAATTTTTATCAATTTAACCTCAATACCCCACATGGTTGAATTAAAAAATCGTATCACCTATAATTATGAGAACGAAGGAATTATTTTTTGTACGTTAAAACTACATTAAATTTGTGATAAAATGCTGTTTATTTTATATTAATATCTCAATTCGTTCTTAAGATACGAAGCCATAAATAAAATTTTTATCAATTTAACCTCAATACCCCACATGGTTGAATTAAAAAATTGTATCACCTATAATTATGGGAACGAAGTAATTATTTTTTGTATGTTAAAACTACATTAAATTTGTGATAAAATGGTGTTTATTTCAACTTGACATCTCACTTACTTTTAGAGATATGATTTTATTAAGATTATCACTTAAATAATCTATAAATTGATATGTAGAGGTGAACTAAAAAAATCATCACGTCAAAATTTGTAGAAATAAAAAAACGATTTTCAACACATTAAATATTGATTAAATTTGCTTTAAAATGCTTTATGTTTCATGTTAATATCTCAATTCGTTCTTGAGATACGAAGCCATAAATAAAATTTTTATTAATTTAACCTCAATACCCCACATGGTTGAATTAAAAAATCGTATCACCTATAATTATGAGAACGAAGGAATTATTTTTTGTACGTTAAAACTACATTAAATTTGTGATAAAATGCTTTTTATTTTATATTAATATCTCAATTCGTTCTTGAGATACGAAGCCATAAATAAAATTTTTATTAATTTAACCTCAATACCCCACATGGCTGAATTAAAAAATCGTATCACCTATAATTATGAGAACGAAGGAATTATTTTTTGTACGTTAAAACTACATTAAATTTGTGATAAAATGGTGTTTATTTCAACTTGACATCTCACTTACTTTTAGAGATATGATTTTATTAAGATTATCACTTAAATAATCTATAAATTGATATGTAGAGGTGAACTAAAAAAATCATCACGTCAAAATTTGTAGAAATAAAAAAACGATTTTCAACACATTAAATATTGATTAGATTTGCTTTAAAATGCTTTATGTTTCATGTTAATATCTCAATTCGTTCTTGAGATACGAATCCATAAAATTTTTATTAATTTAACCTCAACACCAGCATTCAACAAGTTTTCATATTTTCGTATTTTTCTCGATAGTTAAGCATCTGAGAGCAAATATGTAAGAAAGCAATGTTGTTAAGAATAAAATTTGCTACAAGATTTGTTTAAAAAATTTTCTTGTAATATGATCCGTTTCCGAGTTCTGCCATTAACATTTTTTGGTATTTTTTGTCATATTCTTATATTTTCCTCTATATTTTACTTTATGGGAAGGGGGGCATAACACGACATAAAAAAAGAGTGTGTTGCCATAAAATCATCATTATTATTATTATTATTATTATAATCAATCAATCAAAAGTTGTTGTACGATCCTTCGTTAATTCATCTATTATTATAGTTATTATTAAAATAAAACGTATTATTTAACATATTGTGGACAAGATACTACACTAAAGTTATATTTCAACTTAAATAATCGCACAAAATTCATTAAAATCAAGAATTTTCACAAACAGTCCCTTTCACAGCTTCATGAACATTTTTCATCCACACCCTAAAATTAATTTGATCGTAATTTAAGTGCGAATAAAGAAAAACGGGCATCGTATTCGTTAAAACGATCAAATCATCCTTATAAATCTTTAAATCAGAGGGATAAATCATCGTGTTATCGTTTTTTTGAACGATTCCAAAATTTCTTTTATCGAAAGGTTTATTTATATTATAACAACCAACCGCGTTTTGATTCACCAAAGCTAAGAATAAAGTTCCCGTTGGTTTATGCAAATCTGAAGCGGAAGTTTGCGAATTAGGACCTCGATCTCCCAAAACCTAAAAAATCAAAATCATTTAATTAATTAATAAATGATTAATGGTAAATTATTAACCTTAAAATCATCTTCATGGTATGATCTTGTAGCGGCGGTTTCGTTTCTTAAAATCTTAGTCGAAACTGAATACAAATTGGTTCCTGCCATCGAATGGAAAATGCAATCTCTAAATCCATCGGGTTTAACGTTACTTAAAGCGACGCTAAAAACGCCATCGTTCCATTGAAACGGAATTCCCCCAATATTAAAATCTCCAGCCAATGGTTCCAAATAAAAATAGTTGTGTCTCACCCTCCAAGAATCGTTTCTTTTCAAACTATACACGATTAATCCGTACCCAGCTAAATCCGGGAAATACGCGTAGGCATCTTGACACTTATCCGGGGTAACATCAACGACAGTCATTGCTAAAACTGTCGCCGGAGTTAAATCGGAATCTTTAAAATTATAAGTATGGATAATTTTGTCTGTGTTTAAATCGATGATGACGATTCTTTGTGGTTGAATGCTCGTTGGAGATCCTAAAGTTTCAATGATTCCGGTGTCCACCATCCATAATCTATCGCACGGATCAACTGCCACTCTATACACGGAAACTAAATGTTCTTGACCTGGTTGGACGTTTAAAAGATTCGTTTGTTGATCAGGGTAGGGAATTACAGGTAGATTTTCTCTTTGAGTACTTTGCATTGAAACGTAATTCAAAGTTGATGGTACTCCAGATCTTCTTCGAGGAATTGTTATGAAAAGTTTATCTTTCCAACGATTTGCACCCATTGGAATATTATTTTCTGAAAATAAAAACAATTATTATTAGACTATTACGTCATCTTCAATGATCCAGTTTTCTTCTAAATGAAAAATTAGAAGAATCAAAAGAAATTTCGTATTCTCGTATTTTTCTCGATATCTATGGGTCAAAGAATAAAAGTGCAAGAGAGCAATGTTATTAAGAATTTGTTACAAGTTTTATTCCAAAATTTTTTTTGTAATATGATCCGTTTCCAGATTTCTACCATTAGCATTTTATGGAACAACGAAATTCATCAAATTTTCATATTTTTCTCGATATCTATGGCTCAAAGAATAAAAGTGCAAGAGAGAAATGTTATTAAGAATAAAATTTGCTACAACTTTTGTTCCAAAACTGTTTTTGGAATATGATCCGTTTCCAGAATTCCACCATTGACAATTTGTGGAACAACGAAATTCATCAAATTTTCATGTTTTCATATTTTTCTCGATATCTATGGCTCAAAGAAGAAAAGTGCAAGAGAGCAATGTTATTAAGAATAAAATTTGCTACAACTTTTGTTCCAAAGGTTTTTTTGTAATATGATCCGTTTCCAGAATTCCACCATTAACATTTTATGGTACAATGAAATACATCAAATTTTCATGTTTTTATATTTTTCTCGATATCTATGGCTCAAAGAATAAAAGCACAAGAGAGCAATGTTATTAAGAATAAAATTTGCTACAACTTTTGTTCCAAAAGTTTTTTTGTAATATGATCCGTTTCCAGAATTCCACCATTAACAATTTGTGGAACAACGAAATTCATCAAATTTTCATGTTTTTATATTTTTCTCGATATCTATGGCTCAAAGAATAAAAGTACAAGAGAGCAATGTTATTAAGAATAAAATTTGCTACAACTTTTGTTCCAAAAGTTTTTTTGTAATATGATCCGTTTCCAGAATTCCACCATTAACAATTTGTGGAACAACGAAATTCATCAAATTTTCATGTTTTTATATTTTTCTCGATATCTATGGCTCAAAGAATAAAAGTGCAAGAGAGCAATGTTATTAAGAATAAAATTTGCTACAACTTTTGTTCCAAAAGTTTTTTTGTAATATGATCCGTTTCCAGAATTCCACCATTAACAATTTGTGGAACAACGAAATTCATCAAATTTTCATGTTTTTATATTTTTCTCGATATCTATGGCTCAAAGAATAAAAGTGCAAGAGAGCAATGTTATTAAGAATAAAATTTGCTACAACTTTTGTTCCAAAAGTTTTTTTGTAATATGATCCGTTTCCAGAATTCCACCATTAACAATTTGTGGAACAACGAAATTCATCAAATTTTCATGTTTTTATATTTTTCTCGATATCTATGGCTCAAAGAATAAAAGTGCAAGAGAGCAATGTTATTAAGAATAAAATTTGCTACAACTTTTGTTCCAAAAGTTTTTTTGTAATATGATCCGTTTCCAGAATTCCACCATTAACAATTTGTGGAACAACGAAATTCATCAAATTTTCATGTTTTTATATTTTTCTCGATATCTATGGCTCAAAGAATAAAAGTGCAAGAGAGCAATGTTATTAAGAATAAAATTTGCTACAACTTTTGTTCCAAAAGTTTTTTTGTAATATGATCCGTTTCCAGAATTCCACCATTAACAATTTGTGGAACAACGAAATTCATCAAATTTTCATGTTTTTATATTTTTCTCGATATCTATGGCTCAAAGAATAAAAGTGCAAGAGAGCAATGTTATTAAGAATAAAATTTGCTACAACTTTTGTTCCAAAAGTTTTTTTGTAATATGATCCGTTTCCAGAATTCCACCATTAACAATTTGTGGAACAACGAAATTCATCAAATTTTCATGTTTTTATATTTTTCTCGATATCTATGGCTCAAAGAATAAAAGTGCAAGAGAGCAATGTTATTAAG